ATCTACAGATGGAAGATGCACCTCTTGGACAGAAGACCTTTGATTCACGAAAACGCTCGCAATCCCCTTCTTCCTTGGCCCCTTGCGAAAAAGCTCCTGGCGAAGCATCTGGGGATTGGGCTTCTGAATGCTGAGATTTGAACTTCGTGAGCACTCATGGTGCCAAAACTTGCAGTTCACGCCTGTAGACTCTACGGCGCGTGACGCAGGCGATCTTGCAAAAAACAAGTATGGATGCACACTGCTTTGCCTGGGATTTCAGACGTGCCTCTGTCTGAAATCAGCGTTGTGATGTTGAATCTTCTGCCGAAAGAAAGTCATGGGACTATCAGCAAGTCAAACCCTCGACTCCTGAACCTCAACTCCAATCCCCTGGGCCCAGCCCACGCACTGCTAGCCCGTCTGGCACCTTCGCCCCCATCCGGAGCGTGGAAACGCAGAGCGCCTTACTTCATCATGCTGCCGCCACCCAGTGTCCGTGTCACTGACAGCAGCAGGGGCCGGCGCCAGCAGGAAGGGTGGCAAAAGGTTGGCCAGCAGAGGCACCATTGGAGCCTTGGAAGGTTCAGGCGCATGGTGCGCGGGAATCAAGGTGCTGCGGGGCCTGCACATGTGACAATGCAGTCTAGCCTAACATAGAGACTGGCTTGTTGAGTGGCATGCTCTAGCCTTGGACTGTCGAATACATCTGCCGGGACCATAGCTTTCTGCAGCGACCTGTGACCTGTTCTGGAACCCGCTTGCACTTGCAGCGCCTCGACCCAAGCAGCCGCTGAGACACAAGCTTCCAACGTGTCCACTGCGTGCAAGCCTATCAGCCCTGAGCCTGGCTCGACCAGTCTCTCACACTATCGAGAGCACGAGGGTTCAGCAGGCCACTTACATTGACCCACATAGCAAATTGCTGGCTTTACCCTTGCAGGCAGAACCTTGCACTGGTTCACCGTCAATGGCAAAGCTCGACCGCATTTGTTACGTCTCTTGCCTGCAAACCAGAACTTTGCCCCTGCACAGAAAACCCACCTGCGGCCGACATCACGGCGGCGGACACCTGCTAAGCAAGGTGAGGTTCCTTGATTTGCACATGTTCGGATCACAAGCTGCCTTCGATAGATTCTGAACAATCTCTTCGAAATCTTTGACTGTCTTATGGTTTGCATTTATGACAATGTCGCCGGCTGCTGAATGAATTCTGGCCAAAATGGGACAGCCTGTTCACTGACCGCAGAGGTGACAGCTTCGGACTGTGGATGAAGGCTTCAAAAGCACAGTCTGAGTCTAGACCCCCGCACATTTATTCTGCTTTTCAGGTTCTGATGTTAGTTGCACAGCAACAGCTCCTGCTATGTAGAAGCACCAAAGCACATCCGTGCCGACATAATTGATGAGAAGCGCTGTGATGTCCGTACTACAACAGTATCCCAGTATCCCCACAACTGCTCCGATTTTGGGGTTTCGGATCGGTATGTTGAAGTGCCTCTATGAGACCCAGGTCCTCCTGATTCACCACCTCAGCCAGGAGGATTGTCCTTGGCTTCCAGAATCATTCTGGAATGAAGAAACCACCAGCTTCTTATCAAAGCTGGGCATGGGATTCTGAAACCATGTTGAATGGCCAGATTTGCAGGCGAGCCCCGGTAACTAAGGTGAAAACACTGAGAACAAGGGCACTATTCACATCATAACCTTTCACAAGCCCTTGGGACTGGACGGCAAGGACTGAGCCTGCTCTCCAAGAAGTACAGGAACATGGACCCAACCATGTTGGCTCGTAAGGAAGATGCACCCTGAGATCTAAACCTACTTCATGCCCTTGAGACCGCCACCAGATCACGTCCGTAGACTGCAGCAGCAGGTGGACACCCGTGGGAACCAGCTGCAGCCTTGGCCACAGCCACCGCCACAAAGTCGCAAGAATCGACCCGATCTGTGGTTTCAAATCTGCATCACAGGACATCGGACAGTCTTCGGGAGCGAAGCTGCTGAACCGGCTGAACCGTGTCGAGACCCTCACCCCCAGTTCGTCACGCCATACTTGAGCCCAAAGAGGACTCCCACCGGGGCGATGTGACGCAGCTTGTACCTGGATGGCCGCGGGGTTTAAGCGTGAGAAGCTCTCGAAAAGGCTGAAATTCTCCGACACCTTCACTTGGCGTCTTCACACTTCGTGGAATTCTGGCTTTCTCTTTCCAGCTGTTGCAGCTGCTCTCAGCTCCTGGGCCCCGTATGCCCCTTACAAACCCCACAAGGGGCAAAGCCACCTTCAGCCACAGTGCGACAAACATCTGACCGGAAGTTTGGGCGGCATCTGACAGGTCCGGGTCCGCGGCCGGAAATGAGGACCAAAGAGCCAGGACTTGGAACGGTCGCACACAAAATGCCTCGGAAGGAAAACGAGGCTTTCAAGGTGCCAATGTCAACGGGGCAGCTCTCCCCTCGAAGTCTTCTCACTTCTGATCACCGGGCCCCTGGCCCGAAGATGTTGACCAGACTCAGCACTGAAGAGACCAGAAGAAGCCTGTGGAAAGGCCCGGAAAGGCTTCATTCTCGTGGAATGTGAGTTGCACCCGCTGAAATTCAACAAAGTCTCCGAGTCTGGCTGCTTGCAACTCAACAACGCTATCTGACTAAAGCAGTCTGAGCTCAAAGGATATGCACTATGTGCATGTGAGTCCCTAACCCTGGATTTCAAGCTCTGTCAGCGAAACCATGTTAACGTGCTTTCCACAAGGGGACATGCTGAGGCGTAAATGATGCAAAGATTTGCCACTGGTTCCATGTCACGTCCTAAACACCTGATGATCCTGAGGCCAGAGCTGGAGAAAAGCAGTGGCCATGGGGTAAGGAAATTTCCTGGTTCCGGAGCAAGGCTTCGTCTTTTTTGCGGTGGTGCGGCAGAGGCTAGTAGTGCCCTGCATAGTGCGCGGCCGCGGGAATCTCAAGGTGTACTATGGGCCAGTTTGAATTTGAGTCTAAGACCTTCAGAAGATCAGCCAAATCCTGCAAAAAATCATGGATGGGTTGGGGGACTGCACATGGTTGAAACAGTAAATGATTCACTCCTTTGCTACATGGTATGAATTCGCATGGGCTTGGTTGCTGCAGGTTTGCACTTGTCATGGATGTACATCACGCGACAATGCCTATTTTTGCACACAAGAGTGGCAAAGAACAACTTGATGAAGGCGTGTGCCAACTTTTGCATGACGTAGCATGGATCAAATCCAGATTCTTGAGAAGTAGCATGTTCTGGTTCTTTCTGAAACTTAACTACACCTTCGCAGAGAAGACTCACGGACTGAAAGCCCGGCATGCATCAAACTCTTTAAATGCGCTACGAACAAGCAGAGAGCGGCCAAAACAGTAAGTGGCCTTAGGCACTGGTGCCCCTCGCAGACGCCATTGGCGAAGACCAGCTTATTGTAGATCGGAACCGCGGACACCTTGCTTGTCTTTTTCGTGTGAGAGAACTCTGGCAATCATAGCACTGGAAAGGCAGTTTGTGCTTGGAGTTGCAGGTTCGCGCTGTCTGCGTGACAAATGGAACCCACAGCCCAGAGCGACCTTGAGCACTTCTGTCGTAACAAGAACTGAGGCCTGCGGCAGAGATGCAAAAAATTATGGTGGCAATTGCCACCTTGAGGCGCCAGAGTGCCCTGGCGTAGCTTGTCGGGAGGTTTGAAAAACCCTTCTAGATTCAGACATGGTTGCGGATGCTGCAAGATCATTGGCCAAGTCAACCCAAGCAAGCACACCCCGACTCATCTGCAAATCCATGACATTCCCCAACATCCCTTACTGCAAGGTGGTTTCTTTACCATGCACTGCCCCATGACTGCTATGAAAAACACAACGCAATGTCTAAAGCGATCCTGCTGCCATTAGCATCAGCACCATCCAAAAGCGCGAGCTGGGCCATGATGCCAAGGAGAACAAGTTGTTATTGCTATTATTGCTATATATATATATATATTGCATGATATTGCTATATATTGCTATCGTTTCTTTGAGTTTGGGCTGTGAGTGGTCGGGTATGGTCGGGTGATCTAGTTAAGTTTGCAGGTAGAATCTGAGCGTTCAGTGGGTATCCGAGTTCCAGGCTTTGGGAAGGGAGTGCTGGAAATATGCGCTGCGATTAACGAGAAAGGCGGCCGGGGAGGAAAATGGCAAGCCTACTCTTTCAGCTCCCTCAACAAGCTCACAGCTTACAAGTCCGGAGCCAGTGAGCTGCCGTGCCAACCATCCAGTGCTGCGTGATACCAAGCGTGGTCGATTCTGTGCAGTTCTGCGTCGCGACGTTTACAACCGACAAGTTTGAAGACCAAAAACTCATTGCCCCTAGGAGTTTGACACAGAGCCTCCCTCCCAAAAGCCAGATAGGATCAGATAGGAAGGTCGTGAGCCGCAATTCAACAAAGCCCAAGCGGACAAAACCACTTCCTAGATCCATGCACAAGTAACACAGGCACCAAGAATGCTTCTACCTCCTCCAGAAGCGGATGCGAAAGCTGAACCTTGGAAACACGGCCTGTCTGCAAGAGCGTGCGGACCTAGAACGAATATGAACGAATAAAACCTCACGAAGTGGAGTTGACCTGGCTACTTGTCGGAATGCCTTGCCTTTACTGCTCAGTTTAGAGCTGCTTCAGGGAAAGCCCCTCTTTTTCAAGCCCTCAGGTTGAACGTCAAGATGCAGGCACCGGAGATTCATAAAATCCCTTGGTCTGACGGAGGAGCCGCATGACGCTCAATTGCGCACTGCTCTACGTTGGGCGGCGGGCCCGTCTGTGCTGCGCAAGCGTACAAAGGTATCCACTTTTGGGAAATCAGTCAGGCTTCCTCGACATAGGACTCTGTTCACACGGCCTGCAGTTGCTAGCACGCGAAAGGATCCACTCTTGACCCAAAACACTGCATGAGCAAGTCCAAGCTGCCCTTGCAGGTGTAGACAAAGGGCCAACTTCCAGTGCTACCATTTCGCAGAAAGCATGAGAGACGGCTCAGAAGGGTTGTGCTCCGTTCGTGCTGATTGCCACCTGCGGAAGATAAGGTCCAGCGTTGCTTGAGGGGAGGTAAATCCAGATTGGACCCCTTTATTCTGCACAAAGCCTGCATGATTGCCAGCTGTGCATCTCACAAAAAGTACGAGCAGGTGTGGGGGCTGCGGCCTCGCTACTGTCGACAAGCGAAGGCGGCGGCTCCTGTGGCTTTTTTTTCAAATCACATGCTTTACTAGAACCACCGATTTTCACTATGGGCATCTCGGCAGTCACTGCAGTCAGCCGTTGAATGCAACATGGCCACTTTGCCAGAAGAGTTAGGAGCAGATTTGCAATCCAAGCCTCAAACAATTGAGAAGTTTAGCGGATTTAGGTCGAGCAACATGAAGCCAAACGAGGAGCCCAAGAAATGGTGAGCCGAAGGACAACCGCTGTGAAGTTCTGGGGTGGCACTACTTCCTGGATCGTGGTCCTCCTGTGATGGTGGGGAACCGAGGAGTGGCGCACAGCGGAAGACCACCTTTGAGCATACAGACAACTGCGATCCGTCTTGCTATAATACAGAAACAATAGCCATGAGCACCTCCGACGGCGCTGCCACTTGCGCAGTAACTGCTAGAACGAAGACTACCATAGCCCAGCAGCACCAGCAACAGTAAAAGCACCAGCAGCAGCACCACCAGCACAACCATCACCACCACTGCCATCATGATCATGATGATGATACTGATGCTCAAATCAGTCCACATACTCCACGCTTAGCACGAAACCAAGCCCGGATGTACGGGCACTGCCATCCCGAAAACTGAAGCCTTTCTTCTGACTTTGCGAAGAATCCTGCCGCTATGTTTAAACATCCTCGATGCAAGAGTGTCAGGGAATAGGCGAAGCTGACTTTGAGGGTGGGGTGGCTGACTGCAAAAAGTAAGAGATCACATAATGCTGCGCTTTCGAATGCAGTTGGAGTACCATGTGCTAACGACACGAATCAAAAAAATGAAGCCCAACAAGTTTCAACACAACTTCAAAGTGGAGTTCGGACGCTGGCTGCTTTCGCATTCTGCCTGAATCAGTTCTGGTTGGATACAAGGAAAGCTTACGGGACAAGGGCAATGAAAGTTTGGACTTGTGAAAATCGGTTGACATGCTTGTTCTGAACCTCAACATCGCTAGTCCTTTCAGGCAGGCAGATGTCGGCTCTTGTTGTATCAGGACTCCCTGAACTCTTCAGCAGTCTGCACTGCATACAGGAACCTTGGCTGAACACATTCTGAACCTCGGAATCTGCTTCCAGCAATTTTTAATGACCTTAGGATGGCCGGGCCGCGATGAAAAAAGCAGCGATGTGGAGCACCAGGAAGATGAAGGCTGCAATCCTCGGTTCTTTGCAAGGTTGCAGCCCCAATCCTGCGAACCTCAAGCCAGAAAGCCACGCATCGAAACAAGGGCTATTTGTGGCCTCGCTAGTCTCTGGCCCCAGCCCCATCCCAACTCTCACCCTTCTCACCCTGCCGAAGCTGAGGCACCTCAACCTCTTATGCCACGCTCGAAAAGGCCAAAACGCTTGAGGCATGGCACTGTCAAAAATACCAGGAAACAAGAGAGAGAGAGAGAGAGAGAGTCACAGAAGAGTGTAGAGCCCTGGCCAACCCTTGCCTTATGAAGCAAAAGAATAGCAAATTGTAGCAATCAAATGCATGTTTCTCCGCGAAGCACACCTGGACAAACTGGATCATCAGCAAAGGCTCATCTGGAAGGATATCCAGGCATCATCGCACCAGTCCACCTGATCAGCAATTAGACTCTCTTGTTTTGTTGTGCGGCCAAACTTGCCACTGTCTAGCCAGTCTGTGACCCATGCTCGATTGAACGACTGGTGCCAAGTTTAGCAGCTGCTCTGATACACAATCACACTAAACTCGAGCTATAGATTTATGCAGCACGTCATACCTCCAATACTCCTCCGATTGAGACTCGCCGACACACTGGAATGCCAAATCCCGGGGCAAAAAACTAAGACCCCACTCAGCAGGAGACATCGCCTTGTACGAGCCCTGCGGGCATTCGCCGCCAAACTGCCCAGAGATCTGGAGCAAAGATGCGGACAGGGAACGGGGTGTCAAGTTTTTGGGCTTTGAGTCTCTGCTCGGGCTATTGGGGCCTGGAAGGCTCCCACATTGCCGCTGGAAGACCAACAACGCCCCCCGATAAAGCGTGAAGGAAAAGCTTGCCGCGTACCCGTCAAGACTCCAATGCTAGATAGCAATTAGCTAGTGGTTTCCTCGTTCATAGGCTCTATCGGCTACACCAACTCCCAAAGTTAAACGGCAAATCCATACCATGCTGCAGAGCATGGACAGTGCTGGCTTCCCGGCCTGGAAGATGGTGGATATCAAGCCTTCTGTAGCAGACCTCTCATAGATGGGGTCATTTCAAGCAGCTGTTCTGTCTGCACAGATACCTAGCAGGAATTCATAGCACTTTGGACCTCTTCAGATCGCGACCTGCTTTCTCAGATCCCTCACGCGCAGAAGCATCGGCTCAGGCACCTGTACGGCTGCAGAAGGCTTGCACTGCCGCCGAGCAGATTCCTCAGCCGTGCCAGCAAGTCACCCAAAGTCCCACCATGACTCGCAGAAAGTCTGAAGAAATCCTGACGATTCGTAAAGCCCATATTTGGGGTCAAATTGTCTCACTGAAGCCTCAGCAGTCCAGCAAACAGGAAAATGCTGAGGGAGGCCTAGCTATGATTTTGATGCTTGCCCATGCTTGCCCTAGGCCTGTATCCAACAGCTTTTGCCTGCCATCCTCGGAACCGTTGGAAAAGTCTTTCCCATGCAAGTGCGTATACCCCAGTCAAATCCATTCCATTCCAAAAAGACTGAGCTGGAATTGCTTCACAATTCAACTGGTGCATGTCTTGCAACATGCCAAAGGGCAACAGATTGAAGAAGTGCCAGAGTGCCAAAAGCGGCCACACCTTCAAGGGGGCGCTGCAAGCTACAAGTACAAGCTTTGGCAGGATGCTCCCGCGAATCTTGCGCCTTCAGCCTAGCCAGCTTGTCTGCCAGCACGTTCACCAAAGCCAGAAGCAAACTGTACACGGCGAACAGGTAGAGGTTGCTGGTGCCTAAGACATTGCCCCTTCAGCTGCCAACAGAGCACACGTTGGGACGGCACTCAACAGCAAGCAGGAAGATCGGGAAGAGTACATTGGGTCGGAGCTACTCTTACGCAGGTTGCGGGTCATGGCGTGGAGGTACAACCTTTTAGACTGTCTGCGCGTGTATGAATGCTCCTGCAGCTACTGGAGACATCCAGCACTATGCACGTCACTTGAAAGATAGAATACGTACAGCAACTATGCATGAGCAGCTCTTCAGCCTCAAATTTAGAGCCAGGGAGCTGTAGTTGGACAGCAAGAATACGCAGCAAAGCAGGACGATCAGCAGAGAAATCAATGACCTCTTCTGTGCCAGGCCGGGTCACGTCATTTTGCTTTCTAACGTTGACAAAACATGAGGAATGGCATTGTTATTCGGCATGCTTGGGCATTACTCTGGCATCAGCAGCCTGAGCAACATACACCAGCTGAATGATTGCTGTATATTGCTGTGGCATGGGGATCCCATAGGTGCAGAACAGTGTGATGTTGCTGTTCAAGCTCAAGCAGAAACTAATATGAACTAGCTGTGTGAGTATCTCTTCACATCCCCTTCTGGGGCTGCCGCAGTGGTTTCCCTGCGGCGCTTCGCGCCTCATCGGCCACAGGCGTCCCTGGAAGGCAGAAGCCGTCCGCGAACTGTGATTAGCTCGGACTTGCACACCCATCGAAAGCAGGCCCTCATGAGGACTGAGGCAGCTGCGCAGGTTCCAAAATTGCTCATGCAGCCAAATCAGATATAGGTGACGTTTTTTTTGACCTGCGTAAGCCTCTGTTCGAAGCCGTCAGCACCAGCAGCTGTCAGTTATGGTTTTGCCTTTGGGGTGTATGAACTACTCTGATCCATTCCCTTCTATTTAGAGCTCTCGGCTGGATTCTACGGTAAAGGGAGGTATTATCCATCCACATGAGAGATGGAGAAACGTGAGTAAGCCTAACATTGGATGCGTTTGGGATCTGAAAAAAGGAGTTATCGATATCGTTGTGTAAAGGAGCCTGGTCAGAGGTCAAGAATGAGATCCTGTTGGAAGCCTCTGACATAGCGGATTCCGCCCAATGAAGACGAGGACGTCCTACTCTGTTGGGGCCGCGCGTATAGCGGTACTGGCCCGAGGGCATAAACGTTGAGGAGAACTCAAGAGAATTAGGATTACGAAATAAGTGTCCAAGAAGAGTTAGACGATTCTGGGAGTAAATTTGTGAAGGAGTAATAACTCGCGAGGAATCGAAAGATAAGGACGCGAGGTACGAGTTAGAGCAATCCTCATTGGTGGGGTTCAGGACTTTGTGATAGAAGGATGATTTTATGCGGAATATGCGCCTAAGTGACTTAAAATGAACGTGATTCAGTTTTGTGAGCTGTGGAGGAGTGAGCCGGGAACTTTCCATTGCATATAGCAAAATAGATTGAATAATAGAACGAGACACAGTGAGCTTCCATGAGGGAGGGAGTGTACGATGAGCCAATAAGGGCCTAAGGAGTTTGGAGGCAGTCATAGCCTGGGAAACCCTGTAAGAGACATTCTTGCGGTTATTGGAAAAGGCGTCAAGATAGACGCCTAGATACTTGACTTCATCAGAAAGAGGAACGGGTTCAGGTGGAACCACGTGCCCGAGGCAAGATTTACATTCACATGGAGAGGAAAGGGAAGGAGAAAAGTAGACTCGTTCCTCAGAGTGTAGACGGAGATGGGCACATTTATCGAAGTTGAGAGTAAGGCCCCTGATATAACCCTCATGTTGAAGCAGATGGAGGAGGCGAGTAATTTTCTCAGCAGAGTTGGACATAAGAGCGGTATCGTCAGCATACTCTAAGTCCCAGAGGGGGATGGGGGTATTGATGACCCCGGAAAGAAGACCGAAGCGGGAAACGTAGGAGGTTTCAACATCATGGAAGAGGTGAGAAAGGACAAAGTTAAAGAGGTATGGAGAGAGGGGACAACCTTGACGGAGGCCACGAGTTTGTGGAAAAACGGCAGAGGTTTTACCTGCGTCACGAACACAGAACTTAGGAGAACGGTAAAAAGAAAGAATGGCGTCGACAAACAGCGGAGGAACCCCAAAGAAACGGAGGGAAGATTCGATGGAAGAGAATGAGACGGAATCAAAAGCTTGACCAGTCGAGGAAAAGGACATGCAACGAACTTTGTTGCCTTTCGTAAACCTCAAGAATACGACGCGTGATGTGTATAGGCTGGTTGGTGGAGCGTTTGGCTAGAAAGCCAAAACTGGGTAGAGCGAATCTTGTCATCAAAATAAAACGAGAGACGTTTCTGCAAAAGGGAGGCGAAGATTTTGTACATGGTATTCGTTAATGAGATAGGACGATAGTTGGTAAGATCGCGTGTATCCTGCTGAATTTTCTTAACGAGCATAACCACCTCAGAGAGAGCCCAAGAATCGGGAACAGTGGAGGTAGACAAACAGTGATTAAAGTGATCAAGAAGAAAGAGCTTAAGTATATACGGAGAACCTTTTAACATGTCTGCAGGAATGGAGTCTGGGCCAGGGGCCCTACCCGAGCTTAGTGACCTAAGTACAATATTGAGTTCAGACATCGTAAAAGGAGCAGAGCATTCAACTACAGGAGAGGGATTATCAGGAATAGTAGGCTGAGGGTCAGGAGCCTTCCAGACTTTCTCAGAGAGATACTCAGCAAAAGTGGTAGCACGGAGATCCTTAGAAGTGAGCTTTCCGTGAATATTAAACAAGTTAACAGAACGGGGAACGAATGGCTTTCGGATAGAGCGAGCTGTACGCCATTGATGAATGGAGGAGCCATGAAAATCCTCTTGGAGATGTTGAGCAATAAACTGCTTCTTGTCCCGAGAGGCAGATTTTTTGATACGTTTACGGAGGGCCTTAATCTCCGGTATGGTGAGATCAACACAGTCCTGGAATTGAGAGATGAGATCTAAGGTAGAGGAGGAAATCCACGGCTTCTTGGCAGAAACCGGAAGAGTGGGTATGAGATTCTTATTAGAAAGGAGAAGCGAGCATAGAAAATCTGATTGCTCTTGGGGAGTCTTAGAAAGCCAAATGTCGGAGTTGTAACCAAGTAGAGGTGGATGCAGGGGCGTGCGAGTTGAAAAGCGACCGAGGGTGCCGTAAGAGCGCACGCCTCTTTTTGCTAAGGAGTCAGCAAGCTCATTACCTGGTATTCCTACGTGGGAGGGCACCTGTAGTAGCTCGACATAGAACACCGTACGCAGAGCGGTGTAGTACTGTTGCGCGAGCTCTACTAACTGGTGTAAGTAGAGGGTATTTGATCTCCATTTAAAGAACGGATCACGTATGTAGAATCAATGAATATCTTGACAAACGAACCGTGAGGTAAATGTGAATAGTGAAGAATGTAATCAAATAATTCTATGACGGCTCTCATCTCGCCGGTATTATTGGAGCCATCAACGGGAGTGAGGACTTGGGCATCCAGTGGGGAGTTCTTAACCTGCCCGTGTGAGCAGAGCCAGTTATCGTCTACTGGCTGATGAGTAGTGAAAGAGGAGGAAGAAATATAAAGGGAAAAACCCCATCCGGCGGGGTTATCGGGACCGACAGTCCTATTATTGGGACAGGAGCCGTCCGTGTATGCGATCAGAGTGGAGGAGGTGTGAGGGAGAGAGCAAGTGGAGTTATTGGTACTAGCTAAAAGAGAAGATTCGACCGAGCGGTAAAAGTCGGAGGTTCTCGAAAAATCGAGTTTGGGATCAATGTGGGCGGGAGGTGAAGAAACAAATGAGCTAGAAAAGGAGAAAACCAAGGGAAGGTGACGAGTGTTTACCAGCTGTTGAAAATGAGATCCTTTAAATTGAAAGTCGCAAAAGATGGGGTGGGTGATGGAAGCATAGTCAAGAGTGGTCCAGTCCGTAACGGAGAAATCATCTAGGTGGTCGGTTGTAGAAGTCATCTCTTTATATGAGACCAAATTTTCTGAGGGTAGGTCAGCGAATGTTTGAGGGAGAAGAAGGAGGTGGGATTGCATAAACTTCATTAGAAAGACAGCATTGTTCCTATCGGGATCGGGAATGCTTTGTCTTTTGCCCCAAACATGGGGGCCTATATGATCATTATCAGGGTCAAGGGAGGAGTCAAGTCTAGAGTTGTAGTCCCCCAAAATAATAAGATGTGAAGAATTATGATGTTCAGAAATGATGGAGTCGAGTTGTGACCAAAAATACTCCTTTCGGGCCTGATCCTCAGAGGAGTCCTCAACTGTACTAGGAGCATAAATAGAGAATACGGTAATAGGGCGTGGGTTAGTACGGATAGTGATCTCACAGATGCGGGGGGAGTGAGCTAAAAATTGGTAAGCATGTGGTCTAAGAGAAGGGGAGCCAAAAAATCCTACACCATGATGTTTCGCATTAGAAGCTCCTGAGTGAAGAATTTCCCAACCAGATATAAAATAAAGTATTTACGGACTCATATTTAGTTTCTTGAACAGCTAACAGATGAATCTGCTTAGAGTTCAGAAGAGAGATGATTTGATCATATTTAGTTATTTCCCTCAATCCTTCAACATTCCAAGTAGCAAGCTGTAAGGAGAATCCAGTAGGAACAGGGACTGCAACTGGCTTTTGTACTTGCCTAAGTTGATTGTACCCTTGGGGAAAGTTACGGGATTGTGAAAGGAGCCTACGTTGCGCTGCTGGCTTTGGACAGATCAGGGGATTAGGATTCTGGTCTCCGTGTGTCCGCAGGGAGGAATCCTTGCATCGAGATTTCCATTGACGGAAGTCTCTGCGAGCTTCTTGTTGCTTAGTTTTGCGGGAGGATAGTCTTCTGAGATAGGAGGACTCTGATCTATATCCTCTGGAAGTTCCCCTGAGAGCGCGTCGATCTTGGTAGCCGCCTTGGACCGAATTAGTCGGAGCGGTCTGTGATACTGGAAAATCTGTCATAATGTAAATGTCGTCGCTGTCGTCAATATTGTAAATGTCGTCATGACCCGATGGGTCATCATAATGTAAATCGGTCATACTGTAAATCGGTGGTTTGTGCCCTTGGCCCTCATCGGAGCCTTGCTGGGCACATATCTTCCAAGATCTTCCATAAGCCTGGAGGTAGGTCCAGCGGCTTCCCGGCCCGCCTCCTCTGGAGGCGATCGACCGTAGCATGATCCCATATAATCTATGGGAGGTAGGTCTATCAGTATCCAGTTCAAAACTTTGTCCTCTTCGATAGTACTTCAACCAGAGCTTATTCTTTCCATAAAAGTAATAGTCAAAAACTACCATTCCATTAGGTAATGAAAAGGAGGTTTTCCATAGTGATGATCGAAACTGAGGGGTACAGACTTCGAAACATACATAATTGCCATTAAGGGAATGGGTTAGTTTGTTCAAACTCTTAGAAGCAAAACCTGAAAACATCACTTGCTGCTGGAATCTAAACAGATCCTTGCAAAAACGGGCCTTGGGGTAATACTGAAGTAGAAATCCTTTGCAAGATCTGTGAGCGGCCCTCACTTGTCTGGGTGAAAAATTGACTGCTTCTACTGCATCTGCTAAAAGAACAAAGCTATGCGCGGCTTTGTACACACTGTATGTACAAGGGGCAATGCCCACAAGAGTCTTCCATAGGGTGGAGAAAGCCAACTGAAAAAACTTGAATATTGGAAATCGGATGGTGAAGGGGATGCTATGTCCACAAGCACCTAATGTAAATCTTTCCATTGGTAAATCTTGGTCCGAAATGGGAGCCATCCAGGGGATGGAGCATTCCATGGTTTTGAGACTGCATAATGTAAATGGTTTGATGCTTGGGCTCTGAGGCCCAGAGGCATCTAATGTAAGTCGTTCCATTGGTAAATCTTGGTCATGAAGGGGGGTCATCCTTGGGAAGGAGCCTTCCAATGATGTGAGCTCGGATAGTGTAAATCGCGTGATGCTTGGGCGCACAGGCCCAGAGGCATCTAATGTAGATCTTTCCATTGGTAAATCTGAAGCGGAGCAATTGATGTCCCGAGTGGAGCTCTCCATCGATATCCACCTGGGGCCGTCTGTGACATAGGGGTTGACAAATGAGTAAGACTGCCCTTTGTAAAAGAATTGGATACATATCCAGGACATTACCCAAGCCAAAACCGGAGAAGTCATCGTAAAGGAGGACTTTGAGGGGGACTGGTAGTTAATGGGGTCGGTACATCGGGGAAGCTCATAAAGCGGATCATCGCTAGGCTCAAGAGAATTGACTAATGTATCCCACCAGGATTGGAATTCTTCTGATGCATTGCGATATGTGTCCCCATAACAGGCATCTCTAAGGGCTTCTAGGAGCTCAGGTTTACTAACTTGTTGCTGGGAGGACTCTGATTTTGCTGCCAAGAGCCCTGTTGAATCGTGATCCGCTCAGGTTGCAGACGGAACAGTGGGCGCAGTTGGCGTGGCAGTTGGAGACAGTTCAGCTTTCATAGAGTCAGCTGCCATTGCCGCGGAAAGGAGGTTTAAATTAGATTCTAGGACAACCATGAAAAACTGACAGAACATAGACAACTGAAACCCCTAATGGCCAAATGAATGAATCAAGTAGAAGTAAGGCATAAGCGAAGCAAAAGACCACACAAGGGGATCGGCTACCGCTCTGAGCCTACATGGGTGACATGTTGACAGAAAAGTTTTTGTACAATGAACATTATACCATGAAAACCAAACTGCGTACGCCGAGACTTCACACAAATGCACCTGGCCGTCGCGCAACGACCAGAAGCAGTGCAGGCGCCAGGCAGGTGCCGAGTACTGCCACGGAGGGTAGGACCTTCCAATCTCAGTCGACATTTGCCACAACCCTTCCAATGGCCAGCCAGCCAGAAAATGCCAGAAATACCACCGGGCACCTCAACACCCGTCAGTATTGGTTTGGCAAAAATGTGCAAGCTTTGAAGCTGCATTGCTTTGAAAGCCTCTAAGAGAACACCTCGAAAATGTTGCCGTCATATCAACAACAGAAAGCACAGTCACTCTTGTCTTCTTGGGGACGACTAGCTGAGGCTTGAACGAAGTGAAGCGTTGACTGCTGGGCACTGCTCATGGCCCCAGTCCAACAGGCATCCGCATGAAGAGACAAAAGGGCTGTCGCTCCAAGACTTCCTTTCCTTGTGGCTGCTTGTTAGCTGAAGACCGGTCATGGCCCTGGTGCCTGCAATTGCTCCTCAATACTCTTTGAGCATGCCACATGCGAAGGGCATCTGAAACAGCTGACTGACGCTGATGCTTCCATGGCAACAAATGCAGCAGAGTTCCATGAGTATCTGCGCGCTGTGCGTGCCAAATGCACGCAGCAAAACCAACTCGTCGAAACTGGCTGACAGGACTAGGTACCTCGACAGGATGCCATGTCTGTGCGCCATTCCCAGCAACACCTCCACCTCCCACCACTACCTTCTCTCGGCACCTTCGTCCTTCAGTATGCGCATCTGCAGTCACCGTGGTTGAGCAAACAGATGACAGTCCCCATCCATGAATAAATTGTCACTGGAGTCGCTAGGATAGTGCTGCAAGGAAAATTTCGAACACTCCTCGCTCTTTAGAGCCCAACAATGCGCGTGCTACAAATGCTGTGGGTCTCTGAGAAGGTAGTCTGTGGATGAATAGCTCAATATGGTTAAATGACAGGCTTCTGTGGTGATGCAAACATGAGACCACATACAGGCTCACCAAATGCTACCATAGTTGAAACTGTTCAGGGTGCGAGTGGACATATTTCCAGATGCCCAGGTGAGCGAAAACAATCGATCACGATGGGCCGCCACTTCTTTAAGCAGCAGCACCACCAGAGTGTGGTCCATGAAAGTGCGAACTTCTTCTTGACCCCAGCATCAGTCCGGAACCGACACGGTGTTGGTCAGCACCTGCTGAAAGCCACCACTCGTGCTAAGGGCTGTCATGTTGGGGCTGATCATGACCTGTCGTAGTCAAACCTGTCTGCACACCTGCATCTATGCCTTGACCCTTATGTGCAACACGCTGAGGCTTGCATACTGCCTGGCAGTTCCTCCACGGACCAAGCTTAGCGAAGTTGCGGAGATTCCAAGCCCTCCGACTGAAGATTGCACTCAGTGCAGCTAGTTGGCCTTGGCAAAGTCCTTCAAGTCCTGCCAGCATCTCAGAACCACTCTGGAAGCTACGTGCTGAAAATTCTAGAACCTTCATTCAGATGATAATTTCTGCGATGGCGTCGACTCTAATCTGTAGAAGCAGAACCACCTCCATCAAGATGAGCTAACACATGCCGACGCTGGATCAGTTGAGAAACAGATTCATACTACACCGCAACCTGCATTCCATATCATTCATAGCACTCCACTTGAAGGCATGGGTCAATTGCGCAAGTGTTCCTGAGCTGCAGCTACTGTTACTGTTGCTTCTACTGCTGCCTCTGCGACAAGCATCAGTACTGGCTACCTCTTCTTGTGGAGTAGCAGGAGCAGTATTCATACTACTATACGTTGTGCTCGTACTGCCAGCACTACTTCACTACTTTGCATAAGAGCTTCTCAAGTACAATGCCGTTTTCGCAGGTCTCATGACTTGAGAACGCATGCTGCAAAGACAAATGATCAACCCCGAAGCCTCCACTTTCAAGACTCCCACACTTGTGGCTTTCGTCAGACAGGCACACCTTTTCATGTAAGAGCCCGAATAGGAAGATCTGTGTTATATGATAAATTCCCGCGAAGTTTCCTCCCAGTACGCCTATTTGCTGATCCCCGGGCGCCTGCTTGCGTGGATCCTCTGTGCGGGGATCTTGTGCCATGAGCTCGAACGGCACCCGGACGTCCTGCTTTGAGTCAGGGATGCAAAAGATTAAAAGAAAGGAGCTCTCAAAAGCATGTGTTCTTTATCCGGCCTTGCTGGCCAAGGGCCCACCAGGCTCCACCAACCAACGCAGGCCTCGGATCCGGGTTTCTGCTACACTCTCACACCATCTCGCGCCCCTAGACTTCTCCTTTCCCCTGCCAAGTATTTCTGACTGAGGGACTTGGGGGCAGCTTATCCGGCAGGAAGGCCGGCAGCAGGTAGCCTCAGATTTCTCGGCCAATCGCGCTTAGTCTTCTTCAGCTTAGGGCAAAGCGCCGATAACTCAACTGCAGAAAAGACCGGAACCATGAACTGACAGACAAACACGGTGTCCACCGACTTAGTTGAAAAACATGCAATGCTGCGCGCGGCACTGAACACGCCTAAGCTTCAGCTTCCTACGCCCTTCTTCACCTTCAAGCTCAGATCCAGAGATGCCCACCCGAACTCATGGAAACACATGTACACCACGGTACCCAGCGAACGGATGGAGGCAGCTGGCTCCCTGTCTGGACCATACAGCCTCAGAGCCAAATATGACGTGTGACCTCGCAGGAATGCCTGAGACACAGCCAGAGATGCTGAGCAGAAGGATGTTTTTTGTGTGCAAACTGGCCGGGTTTTGTTGAAAACCACTATTTCCAAGCAGTGTTGGCATACTAGGACCATCCCCACACCACAGATGACATGTCTTGCCAGGAGGCTCAGCTGCAACGGTGCCTGGCACGCCACCATCACGAATACCAAGATCCTGTTGCATCAACACGCAAAGAACTGGAGCAGAAGGCGCACATATCTGGTGCTTCTACGGTTTAAAACATGGGAGAATATGAGCAGACGGTGGAAAACATGGATGCCGAAACTGTTTGATCCGGCCTGACACCTCTGCCTACGCACTGCAATGTGCCCCCAGCCCAAGCTTTGTTCTGTGGCTGGTCGTGCCCAAAAATCTAGCCATTCAGCTTCTTCCCCAAATTGGCTTACAAACTTTAAGAGCTAAAGCAGCCAACAGCTATGCGGAACCCACGCGGAACAACCCTGAGGCTGCGTCCCGAGCGCCCTCAGCCACCACGCAGACACGACTTGTCAGGCCTCCAGAACCTCAGATCGCCCGCAGAGAAAGCGGCGTGGGCCTGCTCTCTAAAATGAGCCTGGAGTATGCAGGTCAAACATATGATTCTGAGGAAAAATGAATGCAAGAACTCAAGAACTCGAATCCTGAAGGCTTGCTGAGATGCAGCATGCACACTCCAGGATCAAACTTATTCAGCAACCACCCCGGAAGCAGTCGCGCGGCTGAGCAGCGGCGGCTTGCGGATCATAGGATCCTGCACGACAGAGCTCAACATCTCGCACCCTCTCGTATCTGATTCTTGGCTCTATTCAACAGCCTGCCATTCAGCTTTCTGGGAACATGCGGAGAAGCCCGAACGGTGGCGCAGCTGGGTGGAAGGTGTGAGAGTTGTATCGTGCTGCAGTCGCAAGATGCTGTCCCCAGATCATCGACGAATGCAGGTTTGTCCTGGCTAAGTCCCTACCACTCCTCTGCAAGCCGCGTAATCACACGACCAGTGAGGAGAGGGCTTTCGCAAACCACCTTGAGCTGTGCAAAGCTCGCCACTCTAAAGCTGGCCATGAACTCACAATTCGGAGCTCATGCTCTTGACATGGTGAACGCAGCTCAAATTTGAAGTCATCCTCAAGCTGGGAAATTTTCAAAACTTGGAAACCGGCATTGGGATCACGGCCACCTGTCACCTTAGTCGGATACGAACAGGTGCTCGCCGAACAACATGTTTCCTCTGCAAACCCCTCTACTCATTGTACTTGCCTACACCACCAAGAACTTAATCACCTTCAACATCTCATCCATTTGCACTGTTCAATGTTCAGGAGCTGGTTCTGCTGACCGGATCTCAACAGACTCTATCAAGCCAACTGAATGCGTCACAGCGGCACGGTTGATCCGCTCTACATCGCCCTTCTCATACCTTGCACAGCAAATACAGCTGTCATTTTGGTTGTTCGCTCTTGGGATCTTTGATCGCAGGGACAATAGGGGCCAGGGCACCTGGGCGCACGCACGCCCCTGTAGGTCGCAAGGTGCATTATTTGGTGAACACGTGTCGATTACACCGGCCTACCGAAAGTGCTTGTCTTTGGTTGGGTTCATGAATCTTATGTTTTGTTTCCAATGCGCAAGCCTTGTCAAAAGGCCGTCAGCTCCGACAGCTATCTATTAAGAGGTTTTTTGGGGGGTTTATGAACTACTTTTGCCCATGCCCTACGATCCTGAGTGGTTGGGAGTATACGTTTATACAACGATGTATTATCCATCCACATAAGGGAGGCTGATATATGCGAGGAGCGTACTGCTGTGATATTGGGGATTTTGAAGTAATTATGGGCTATATCATAGTGTGAAGGGGGCTCGTCTGAAGATAGGTAAGAGATACGGCTCGAAGCCTCGGCCATTGTGGATTCTGCCCAATGTAAGCGCGGCCTTCCAACACGATTGGGGCCTCTCGCGTACCTATACTGGCCGGAAGGCATAAAGGCGGAATGAAATTCAAGAGTGTCCCTATGTCTAAAGACATGGCCTAACAATGTGAGTCTGTTCTGGGAATACATCTGAGAAGGAGTAACCATTCTTCTGGAGTTGTATGCTAGTCCGGAAAGATATTGGTTAGAACATTCTTCTCCGGAGGGGCTAAGCACCCTATGGTAAAATGAAGACTTAATGCCAAAGATACGCCTGAGAGCTTTGTAGTGGACATGATCTATTTTCGTCAATTGTGAAGGAGTGAGTTGGGCGCTTTCCATTGCATAACGGAGGATAGATTGTACCACCGACCTATAAACTGTTAATTTCCAAGAAGGAGGAAGGGATTTGTGTCCTAATAAAGGCTTAAGGAGCTTTGAAGCTGAGACCGCCTGTGAAATTCGATAAGAAGTATTGCGCCTGTTGTTAGATGAGGCATCCAAAAAGACACCTAGATACTTGATTTCATCGGACAACGGAACTAATTGAGGAGAATCATCAGTGCCCATACAGTGGGCACATTGGCACGGGGATGAAAGAGAAGGAGAATAAGGAATCCGGGAGTCAGAGTGCAATCGAAGATGAGCGCACGTTTCAAGGTTGAGGGTAAGGCCCCTAATATGGGCTTCACGTTGTAGTAAATGAAGAAGGCGAGCGATTTGCTGCGCAGAGTTAGAGAGCAGTACTGTGTCATCAGCGTATTCTAAAGTCCCAAAGAGGGAGTGGCGTATTGATGACTCCAGAAAGAAGTCCAAATTGTGAAACGTACGAATTTTCAACATCATGAAAAAGATGCGAAAGAACAAAACTGAAGAGATAGGGGGAAAGAGGACATCCCTGACGAAGGCCTCGGGTCTGAGGAGAGATATCCGAACTAAATCCCGAGTCACGAACAACAAACTTGGGCGAAGAGTACAGGGACATGATAGTGTTAACGAACAAAGGGGGTACACCGAAATGAGTAAGGGAGGACTCAATGGCTGCAAAGGTAATGAATCAAAAGCTTTGGACCAATCAAGAAAAAGGAGATGAAGGGAGTTCTGTTGACGCTCAAAAACTTCCAGTATTCTACGCATGATATGTACGGGCTGAGTGGTAGAACGTCTGGCACGAAAGCCATATTGTGTCGAGCGAATTCTGTCATCGAAGAAGTGTGAGAGACGTTTTTGAACAAGTGAGGCATAAATCTTATACATTGTGTTAGTTAAGGAGATAGGTCTGTAGTTGGAGAGATCTCTGGTATCCTGCTGGATTTTTTAACCAACATAACCACCTCTGAGAGGGCCCATGAATCCGGGGCTGTAGAAGTAGATAAGCAATGGTTAAAGTGATCAAAGAGTAAAAGTTTAAGTATGTAAGGAGATCCTTTTAGCATATCTGTAGTGATTGTGTCGCGGCCAGGAGCCCGTCCCTTACTGAGAGATCTCAAAACAATGTTGAGCTCCGCCATAGTGAAAGGAGAATCACATTCAATGACTGGAGAAGGAGAGGGGGGTATCGCGGACTGATCTGCAGGAGCATTCCAAACTTTCTGCGAGAGATATTCCGCAAAGACAGAAGCTCGTTGATGTTTGGCGGAGAGCTTACCATTAATATCAAAGAGATTGACGGAACGTGGAACAAAAGGTTTACGGATTTGTCTTGCAGTTCTCCACTGCTGTGTTGAGGATGCGTGAAAGTCCTCTTGGAGGTGGGCAGCAATAAATTGTTTCTTATTTTTGGAGGCTGATTTTGTAATACGTTTACGTATAGCTTTTAATTCGGGAGCAGTGAGATCAGAGACGGACTGAAATGTGGCGATGAGAGAAAGGGTAGATTCAGAGATCCAGGGTTTTTGGCGGAGACGGGAAGAGATGGGATGAGGTGTCTATGTTTGAGCAGGAGCTCACGAAGAAATTCCGATTGCTCTTGCGGAGTTTTAGAAGTCCAACTGTCAGAGTTGCACCCAAGTTGCGGAGGTGAGAGAGGTCGGGTACGGGGTGGAGAGAATCTGCCTAAATTGCCATAACTGGTGACTCCTCGTTTGGCTAATGAGTCGGCCAGTTCATTTCCTGGGATACCTACGTGAGAAGGAACCTTGTGGAGAGAGACTTTAAATACCGTACGGAGAGCTGTGTAGCACTGGAGGGCTAATTCTACAAGCTGATGATGAGTAGACGGAAGTTGATCTCCTTGTAATGAGCGCATGACATAAGTAGAATCAATGAAAATTTCTACGGTGGATCCATGTGGGAGTTGAGAATAATACAGAATAAAGTCGAATAGTTCAATAACTGCACGCATTTCTCCGGTGTTATTGGAGCCATCTAATGGAACGAGCGCATGCTCATCCAAAGGAGTGGTCTTAACCATTCCAAAAGAGCACAACCAGTTGTTATTCACCGGTGTGTGAACAGAGAAAGGGGATTCTGAAGTATAAAGGGCAAATCCCCATCCAGCGGGGTTTTCTGGTCCTACAGTACGGTTATTGGGACAGGAGCCATCTGTATATGCAACTAAGACCTGATTAGTGGTGGAATGTGAGCAAACTGAGAATCCAGTTGATTGCAATAGGTCTGTTTCTATAGCGTCATAAAATTGGGAGGTTTGTGAGTAATCTAATTTCGGGTCATGTTGTATAGGCAACCTAGGTGAAAAGGAGGATCGATATGTGAAAAGAAGAGGGAGATGTCTAGAGTTGATAAGTTGCTGGAAAATTGAACCCTTAAAAGAAATATCTGGGAAAATGGGGTGGGTAACTGAACAATAATCTAGAGTGGTCCAATTCGCAACATCCAAGTCGTCCAGACCATCTGTGGCACTGGTCATCTCCTTGTACGTCACCTTGCAAGAGTCAGGCTAGGAAGAGATGGGACTACAAAAGATCTAAGAGGTAAAGGGCATTGTCTCTATCAGAATCTTCAATGCTTTGTCTCTTGCCCCATACTTGGGGGCCAATGTGGTCCATATCTGGATCTAGAAACTCATCTAATCCAGAATTGTAGTCTCCAAGAATGAGGAGGCGCGAGGAGTTCTTATGTTCTGTTATAATACCGTCCAATTGGGACCAAAAGTGCTCTTTTCTGGCAAAGTCTTCAACGGAATCTTCAACAGTACTAGGAGCATAAACCGAAAAGACCGTGATGGGGTGGGGATTGGTTCGAGTAGTGAGCTCACAAATCCGAGGAGAGTGTGCAAGAAAACTACTGACATGTGGTCTAAGACATGGGGAAACAAAAAATCCTACTCCATGATGTCTAGCATTAGAAGCTCCGGAGTGTAGGATTTCCCATCCTGACTTTGTAAATGTATTAACAGAGTCGGATTTGGTCTCTTGGGCAGCTAGTAGGTGAATATTACGACCGGATAGAAAGCTCAAGATTTGATCATACTTGGAAATTTCACGGAAGCCTTCAACATTCCAAGTAGCAATATTGATGTCAAATCCTGTGGGTAATGAAACAGAAGTAGCCTTATCTGATTGCCTAAGTTGGTTAGGGCCTTTTGAAAATTTCCTGGACTGGGAATGGAGTCGATATTGCGCTGTCGGTGTTGGACAAACCAGGGGTTTCGGATTCTGATCACCGTGTGTCCTCAGGGTGGAATCCTTATATTTAGATTTCCATTGGCGAAAGTCTTGTCTTGAGGTTCTTTGTTGTTGCTTCCCAGAGTCAAAGCGTCTTGCCCTGGAGGATTCTGATCTTTGTCCTCTATGAGAACCCCTGAGAGCTCGTCGGTCTTGGTAGCCGCACTGGACTTCCATAGTTGGCTCTTCCTATCTAGAGATGGGAGGGATTGACCCATAGCCGTCAATGTCGTCGTCAACGTCGCTAACGTAAATGTCGTCAGGGCCGAGGCCCTCATAATGTAAATGGTTCCAATCGTAAATGTCTTGGGCTCCGCCCGGAGAATCCATATTGGCAAAGGAGGTGGGCCCACTCCAGAATGGTTTAAATTTCTGGAAGTAGGTCCAGCGGCTTCCCGGCCCGCCCCCGGAGGAGGCGACCGACCGTAGCATCATCCCGTAAAGTCTAGGGGAGGAGGAACGGCTTGTCGGCCTCATACGCTAGGCCTCGTCTATAATATTTGAGCCACAGCTTATCTTTGCCATAGAAAGAATAATTGAACACAATCATACCATTGAGAATGGGGAAAAAATCCTTCCAAAGTTGGGATCTGCAACGAGGTACTGGTATTTGCCATGAGATGTGATTTCCGTTTAAGGCATGGGCAATTTTGTTAAACCCTTTCCAGTAAAACCCTTGAATGTCATTCGCTGTCGGAGATCCGGCGTCGGACTGCTATGCGTATGGAAATCGCAAAAAACTGTCAAAACAATTTGGTAAAGTCCCCGCTGGGTTTGCGATTGCCAAGAGGATTGCTCTAAGCTCAGAAGGTGAAACTGTCGCGTCAAATCTACTTCTCCTATGCGCGGCTTTGTACACACAAGGGGCAAACTTGCCCACTGGA